TTCTTCACTTGCGAATTTGAAACTTCAAAAATTTCTAATCCATAAACCTAAACAAATTTGTAAACACTGAAACAAGACCAAAATCTAAAAAATTTTCAAACAAAAAAATAGCACGAAACTCGTCAACAAATTCCCGGTAGATAAAGCGTTAAACCCGAAAGATGAATATAAATTATTTTCATCGAAAGCGATTCTGTCCAGCCATTGCCGACTACTGTTCAACCGTAGATGTACACACACAGAGAGCGCGAGAGAATCCGAAGTAACAAACTAAGTGAAAAAAAGAAGAATTATCTTAGTAAAACACAACGGAGAATATGAATGAAGCTATATATAAATATATATTCGTATATAAATATAAATATATACATTGTATAACGTACACACGCGCGCACACGTGACACGTACACGCATACATATTCATACACATGCACAGAGTAATGCAACACAGAAAGACAAGAATTATTGTAACAAATACCAAGACGCCACGTGGGCGGACAGCGGCGAGTATTGAATGCATCGAATTTCGGAATTCCATCACGTGGAATTCGATTCGAACTGTATATCGATACGAGGGGTTGTGTTTGTAATAATATATACGATAGAACGCTTTTTGGAGAATAACGTAAGGGTTGCATGCAACGGAACGGGGATTTTTCAACCCTTCGTATTTTTATTCGGAAATTTGTTAATTCAAATTTTTCGAGGTGGTCAAAATTTTAAATATCGAAACTTGGATTTTGATATTTGAACACTCTTTCAATTTTTCATTTTTTTCTTCCAATTTTGATACCAAAGTAAAAATTATTTTAGTACAGAAAATATTGAGTTAAAGTGATAAGGGTATGTCGAGAGTTTATGTTTTAATATATCAGCTTATGCTATTTTAAATACTCGTAATTTATTAGACACTTCAGATTGGAGAGAAAGGTAAATCAATACTGATTTGCTTGGACCTCTTAAAGATTCACATCGATTAGGTTTGTAATTGAATTACGATAGTAAAATTATCTGCGAGGAATTTTTCAAATTGCAACAATGAAAATTTAGGTTACCAAATCAATCTCAAATTATATAATTTTCATTATGAATTTTACATAACTATAACTTTGCAAAATGCAAAGCAGTGAACAAATTGAATCCGTGATTTATGTCAACAAAGTAGCAAACTTGCAATAATTATTTGCTTTCCTCAAAATTACCTCCACAATTAAAATTCGAAATACCATAAAATTTCCACCAAAAATAAAAATTGATAGTAAAAATACTCTCCGTAAAAATAGTCCGTAAAAAATTTCAGTATATCAAAAAACTGAATTGAATAAAAATTTGATAAAAGGGGGTTGAAAATTTCCGTGACGTATCAATGTTTCATCGCCATTGTTCTACCCTAATCACTGTTAAAACTCGCTGTCCACTAAAACGACGGCCTTCGTCGACTCTCATTCACATTGTTGTTGTTGTTATTGTTGTTGTTAATCTATTCGCCGATTTCTACATCCGTTCAATGATCGTCCCGAGCGTGCAATTGAATGAGAATTAATCGAGTGCTCGAAAAAAAATGTCAGCTCGATGTGAATTAACCGAATACAGACCTTCATTATCATCCTCATTTATTAACGAAAACAAAGAGTAAGGTAACGTAAAATTAAATTAATTGGATCGATTAAGAACATCAAGTTTAGGTTTTATTCTTTATTGGAACACTTTCGATTGCGTTACATTAGTTGAGCATTATTGTTAGGTTGTTGCAGATGAAATGACTGATTTAGGGAAATATTTGCAAGTTTGTTGCAAGTGATATTCACTTTTAATAATTTAAATAATTTATAGTCTCGTGAAGTATTAGTCTTGGATTTTATATTGTTTGCTGTAAATGGAAGACAGCCATTTTATATCAAAATTATTAACGAAAGGTTCTTCTATTTAGCTTTAATTTGACACATCACAAGTACTATTTTATAAAATCTTTCTGTCATAAAATTGTCGCAAAGTTTATATGTTTAAAAATTCATTACTTGTTCTAATGGACAAGTAACCATTTTATATGAACAAAATTAAGGAACAATTTGTCTAATAATTTTCGTCGAATCGTAAGCTTTAAATTGACGTGTCTCAAGTACTATTTCATATCTTTAAGTCATCAAATCTTATCAGACTTCACTATAATTCAAAGTTGGTCTTTGCTATAATCAGCAGGCAGCCATTTTGTATTACAAATATCCATGAAGTATTCACACAGCTATTTTCAGTAGACTAATCTTTAAATTGTCGTACAATTTTACGACACTTTTCTGTCATGAAACTAAGAATTTAATATGTCTTAAAATTCATCGCCATTTGCTATAATTGGCAAGCAGCCATTTTGAGATAAGATCGGTGAAGAACTTGTATAGTTATTTTCAGTAGATCAAGCTTTAATTTGACATATAAGTACTATTTTATGAGAATTTTCTGTCATGAAATTTTATGAGAACTTACGTTCTAAAATTGAATATTGTGTAATTGGCAAAGGCTGCCATTTTGTACGAAGAACAGATGAAAACCTTGCACAGTAACTTAATGATAAATTGTCGTACCAAAAGTATTTTAAAGTACTGTTACATGATAAAATTGTATGTAACATTTTCTGTGGTAAAATCGGTCATGTGATATGCAACAACCAAACAATTATAGTATTTTAATACTCACAATTGACAGGTCCTGTTAAATTCGCGCTCTCGGGATATTCGAGTCCTCGCCTAACGTTCATCGAGTGTTTCTCAAGTACCCGGATACTCGTTGTGTCTGCGGAACACGAATACAATCAACAGACACTGATAGTGACACGGTATACGTGTATGTGTGTGTGTTTGTGTATATATGTATGCATGTATGTTTGTGAAAAGAAAAAAATTCATGCGTTTACGATCGACGGTATTTTAAGTATTATCGTTTGATAAGAGGGAATAACCGAGTGGCACGTATTTTAATAATATATAAATAATAACGATCGCGAGAGGCTACGAGATCATTTCGAAAATATGAAATGTCGATCGTCTACGTTGATTCGTGAACGTTTCGTTCGCTCGCAAAGCTTCGTGGCGAGTCAGCAATATCATTCGGATTCCTGTCCGTGCACTCTTGCAATCCAGACGTATCGCTGTGTTCGCATTATTGCTGCTGAAATATCATCGTTTCGTATCAGATAAGCGGATATTATTATCAGAGCGGCGAATACACGATGGATACCGAATAATATTCGCAATTCTTAACTCGTGCTGGTACACGCGTCACGCTAACAGGGTCGCCATTACAGTTTCAGGGCCCCGGGACTATGACACTGTTCCTTCCAGTTTGCCAATTTCTACTTTCCAAAGTTTCAGAACTTTTTAAAAAATTGACAGCTCATAAATTTATAGCTGAGCATTTAAAAGGTTGACAATTTATAAATTCATCAACTTGAACATTAGAAAATGTTACAATTTATAAATTTATCAAGTTGAACATTTAAAAATGAGTTAATTTATGAACATGTCAATTTGAACATTTATAAGTATGACAATTCATAAATTCACCAATTTGAACATTTAAGAGTTGGTCAATTTATGAACATGTAAACTTGAACATTTATAAGTTTGACAATTTATAAATTCACCAATTTGAACATTTTAAATGTTGGTCAATTTATGAACATGTCAACTTGAACATTAATTATTATGACAATTTATAAATTCACCCATTTGAACATTTAAAAGTTGGTCAACTTATGAACATGTCAACCTGAACATTTAAAAGTATGACAATTCATAAATTCACCAATTTGAACATTTAAAGGTTAGTCAATTTATGAACATGTCAACTTGAACATTAAAAATTTGTCAATTTATAAATTTTTCAACTTGAACATTTAAAAGTGAGACAATTTATAAATTTGACAATTATTGCTAAAGCTAAGAGTCTGATTTTGGAAATGTAGAAATGCCAGAATGTAAATTTGAGAAATTGAAAGTAAAATCCCGGGGTCAGAGAGCCCAGGGCAAGTAGCCCCATTTGGCCGAAATTAACGGCGACACTGCACGCAACGATTCCTCTTCTGAACTCTGTGCTAAGAAGAACAAACATTTAGCGAATTTTGTAAATTAGCTAACAAATTCGGGACTCGCCGTGTCACGCTTGCGTGGTAACGAATACAGAGGCAGATGACATTATATGACAAAGAAAAAGAAAAAAAAATTATTGTATATGAAGCTACTGTGATGTTACTGTTGAATATAAAAAGAAACTATATATATACATAAAAGATGCTGTATTTAAAAAAATTTAGCTAGTGTGTTTTTTATTTACTCCTTCAACTTAGGTAAAGTCTATTTAAATTACAAGTGGAGTAGCACAATTTTGAATAGTTTCTCTTATTTTGCAAAAATAATTCTTGAGAAGTTTTTAGTTGGTCAAAAAACGGTGTGAGAAACGAACAAGATGAATTCTAGCTAACGTTTACAGCCATCAAAAATACACGCTTCCAGAGAAAAATACTTTTTATTTCGCAGTCCATAGGAAATCGTTTCGTTAGAACAATTTTGAGTCGACGGATTTTTTAATACCACGTGTTACTTGATTAAACACAGCCGCTGAAAACCATTGACGTAACTAGGATTTCAAGATCAGTTTCAAATTGCCACGCATTACATTTCTATACTGCCACAGGTTGCCTATGCCTTATATTGCCTTATGTCCACATTTAGGAGGAGCACATCTAGTTACGCCAATACTGATCACTTTAATGTATATATTTTTAGTAAGTTTTCTATTTTATGTTCCCGATGAAAGTTTGTTTTTGTATAATTTTCTGTTTTAATTGCTAGTTAACAATGCGACAAGTGTGCACGATTGTGCGAATATCATTTGTTGCGTGCGATGTTCTGGGGTCATACTAATCGGGTATGAAATGTCGGTCGTTACCACTTAACCTCAAATGAAATATTACTAGATCGCTGTTTATAGTCGCAGAGAATGAGGCGCACGTTATAAAATCAGATTTATTTACAATTCTACAAGATCGGTTTATGTACCTGTACAAATCGCTGATTCGCAAACACGTATTGCGAACTTTTTACAAAAATTCTAGTCACCATATTAAAACATTGCTTCTGACTCTAGGACGCAAAGCCAGCCGTATTTAACAGATATACATATATTGTTCTCATGTTAAAACTCGCTAATCACGGTTGTCCCATAAATTACGTGATTGATCGAACCGAGATATGCGTGCTTTCATGAAAATTACTTCTTTTTTTTTTCGTTTTTAGACCATTGCAATCGCGTGCAAAGCCTGATACAGTCTTATTCGAAACGGTATACCTCACGGACGAGGTACGTTATATGTACAGTTTTTATTTCGTTCGTATATTCGCTAATCATATAATAGTCCTGGGTTCCTGAAAAACAATTTCAAGACAAGTTAGCATAGTCTTATTGTCAAGTTTGTCTTTTCAACTTCACTTCACCATTTTGCCCTAACACTCCAGTCTTTTGGTGTCCAATGAAGACACTTAGGATCTATTCTGATCTGCCTCTTTTCCATCGCGGCTGCGTGTTGCTCGATAATCTCCCTGCGAATAAACATGTATTTGTCAGTCAGATTACTGAGGAATATCCGTGTGTTACAGAAAGAAGCTAAAGTCTGCTCGATTCGTATCCCTAACGATGCATTGACTATTTTTATGTAGCCAATTACCTATTCAATGTAACAATATATTGTCCTTTGTAGTAATTAATGAGATTCAAATTCTGTAGCGTCCATATCACATCTTCTTTCTTAATCGACGTCAGCTCGCATATTTCGCTTATCGTTATCTGGGGCTTCTCGTTCTCGACTAGCGGCTTTATGTTCAATAAAATGTCCAATATCGTGTGCGCCCAATAACTTCTGTAAGACAGTAATCCCAGATCGGACAACGGTTTCTCGGGTGAGCCAGTTTTACCCTCGAATTTCGATAATTCGTAGGAGAATTCTATCAAGAGTTTGCCGTAACCTCTTCTCTGATAAGGAGGCAGTGTAAGAATGCATGCCACGTTATGGTCCTCCGTTGATTCTTTCTCTTTTGAAAAATAACCAACTATGTGAAATCCTCTACTATCAAAGTCTGTCATTACGTAGAACAAAAATGGATCTGTATCGTAGTAAAGTGTTTTATGATCCAAGAATAATTTTGCTAATAGACAGAGATTTTGTGCATAATTCTTGTTCTTTCGGCCGTCAATTTCGAAAAACGATATGGATCCTTTTCTGTATATTTCGTTACCAGGCGGATGCCTTAGATTGCATTTGGCCAGATGCCTTTCCAAGCATTTCCGACTTTTTCTGTACTTCAAACAGAATTCACAGATATATATACAAGGGAGGTTCACCATTTCTTGGGGATAAGGACTAAAATACCAAGGTTTTATTCTATGACGGCCTAATTCTATCAGTTCTACGTTCTTCATTCTCGTAACAATGTCATCGTGATGATGAGCAACTAATGAACCTGTTGGCCTTGGACCAGGTGTTTGCGGCGGTCCATCTTGAGAATCATCGTTCTCTATAAATGCTGCTTTCCTTTTTCTAGATATTTTCTTTTGCAACGCCGCTTGTAACACGGCGGTACCATTAACTGGTTCATTACTGAGACTGCTAGGACTAGGAGGTCTACTGGGAACTTGTTTTTTTGGCGTGGCTGCACCAGTTCCTGGTGTGGTTCCATCTCGACGAGGATATTGGACTTTCCTCGTGTCCAAACTATCTTCCATAACCCATTCATCTAATCGTTTATTGACTAAAATATTTGATATTTAGTTAAACAGCTGTTTCTACACGTAAACAACACCTTTCCTCCTAAGTGTGGTTATACTTACAATCTACATAGTGAACATAATAACACTTGACACCGTGTACTTCTTTAACACTGATGATTTCAGCAAGAGCTGTGGATGAAAGGAAATTCTTGATAAACCCTTAGTATTACACCTACATCTATAGAATCGTTATTGACTGTCCAGACACATCAGAAGAAAGTACATGTGCAAAACTATTTGCGTCCAAATAACCTAAGCATAACCTAAAAACTAAGCTGTCCACAATGTTTGAATAACAATAGTCAACAGTATTTAATTAAACATGTCATAAATATTCAGAATCTGGCTGTAATATTGTTACGCAAACACATTTAGTTTGCCTACAGAATGGTTCAATAATGTGATTCAATGACATACTTATCAAATGATTTTTCTAGTACAAGATGGAATTTCCACGAAAAAGAAATAATACTATTTTCCAGGTAAAATTATTATTAAAACAAGGATTAATTATTAAGTGGATATTGTACTTACGCCAATCGTTTGTTCCAAGCATTTTAACCGGTAAACGACAGCCTTCCACCAATGAATTCTGAAAGTGAGGTTAGAATTACACGATGTGCAAATAGTTGTCATTTTCAGGCATTTCCTGAGAAACTGCTAACGTTATAATATTCAATGTTTTGCGCCACTTACCACTGAGTCGCATATCGTATCACGTTCGTCGTGTTCATCGATCATTTCAATCACAAATGAATAAAACGTTCCACCAAACACGATTTTGTTTTGAAGCGTTCACGGCACTGACGCGAGCGCCTCACCGCTTACTTTACACATAGAATGAACTACTTTTGAACAACACCCCGCGCACTCGAACGTACAATCGAGTATCGAATCAGACACCAACCGCGAAATTTGTACGAATTCAAATTTTATTTCATTCTTTCTTGGCTCATACTTCATATTTTTATTTTTATATTCTCAAGTTTTTACACTTTTAATATTATAAATCTTTAAGCTCCAAATTTGTAGATTTGTAAATTTCCAAATTTTTAAATTAAGGTCTCAAATTGTTATTTTTCTAATCCACTAAATTCTTAAGCTCCAAATTTTTAAATATTCAAATTCTAAATTGGAATACACGTGATTTGTGATCCACCGATATTAGCTATTAAAGAGGGTGAAAGAAAAGTGAAAGAGGTGTTCATGCAGCGGCACGACATCAAATAAAATTCCTCTTCAGTGATACGATGGAACGTCGAGGACCGTGCGCGTTATAATTAAGTAAGAATGATTCAAAGGAGGATACGACCTGAGCGCTAGGGTTATACGATACGTCATGAAAGGTGCTCGTACTTGCATGCAATTAATTCTGAAATACGTAACATTTCGAAAGAGGTAAATTTAGTGTAACACTGTTCCCGCGAGTATTTCACACGATTCCATCCTACCATCTTCGTCTGCGTGCTTTTAAGGTTTGTAACGTTCAACCATTTTAGTCACTTCAGACAATTTGAGGTGACGTCTTATTCTACTGTCTACCTTAAAATAGTAACAACTATATTATACATCGCGAGCTTCCTTTCGCGTTCTTTTCGTATTCTCTTTCGTTAACGAAATTATTTCTAATTTAATTGTCTCTGCAAAATAGTGAGAGACATAATATATATAATTATAGTACATAAATTTATTATAATTGCATACAATTTTAAACAGTTATTACACGTAATAATATTATAGTATATCCAACTATGATATATGTAATTATACATTATAATATATTCCCATTACAATAATATAGTAATTTACTGTAAATAAATTTAATAACATCTGTTATGTATGCGCTCAGTAATTTATATATGTGCTGTATAACTAATATGTAGTAAAATTTACTAAATTTAGTATAATATACATTGTAACATAAACGTATAATATACTGAAGGATCAATGATAATTTCTCGGTAAAGTATCCGCGGATAATTTGAATGGTAGCTTGAAATATCAACGATTCACCTTTTCACCCTGGTATTTCTCGGCAGGATAAGAGGGACCGTGAGCGAGGTTCGTTTTTAGATAACAGTTTGATACTAAAATTACGACTGGTTCGATCGACCGTGTCGTATCGAGGGTTTACCGTTGCGAGCCCCACCCGGTACACACGTTCCTACGCCTATGTATCGTCCCATACACACACGTACACGTACGCGCGAAATCTGCACGATTACATATACATATGTACGGGCACATAAGTGTACTCACATCGGGCATACATAAGGGTTGATAGTGCTCGGGCGAGCAAGCCACCCTTATATGCAGGGCGTGGCCAGAGTCCACCAATCAGAGGGCGGGGAATCCCCGAAAGACCAAATCGAACGAAGTAAAAATTTCAGCGGTCGCGTCAAACGCCAACGCCAAAGGGGATGAGCGCGGTTGATCCCGGCTTACATTTTCGTTACTTATCCTGCGTTCGGGATCTTCGATACCCTGTTTCTTCCTTCCCTTCTTCCCTTTTTTTTCCGCCTCTCCCTTTTTGCAGTTTTAACGCGAGCTCTTAATTGTGCCGGGGAAAATAACTGGATTTACCTTGATCCCTCATCGGGACAAATTGGCTGCACTCGATTTTATTAGTTTTGGGTTGTTTTTACTAATGTGGGCACACGTGTATTTACTTTTGGATCTCAGGACATAGTTTTGGATTTTATTTATGTTATATTTTGACGGTACTCAAACATTTAATGAAATTAAATATTTACTCATACATTTTACTCATACGTTTTACTCGTACGTTTTACTCATACGTTTTACTCATACGTTTTACTCATACGTTTTACTCATACGTTTTACTCATACAGTTTACTCATACATTTTATTCATATGTTTTATTCATACATTTTACTCATACGTTTTACTCATATATTTTATTCATACGTTTTACTCATACGTTTTACTCATACGTTTTACTCATATATTTTACTCGTACGTTTTACTCCTACGTTTTACTCATACATTTAATAAAATTCATGAAATAAAATCTTGGTAATGGTGTTTTACGAGTTGCATTTCCATTAATATCTAACCTACATACGCACATAAATGTCACATCAAATTTTTTCCTGTTAATATTCTGCATCACATAAAAATTAAATAATTTAGTATTTTATGTAATTTAAATATTAAATGATTTAGTACCTTACATTCTGTATATGTCAAACAATTTATCATGTAAATATTAAATATTTTATGTCATGTAAATATTAAAGAATGTATGATAATCATTTAATATTTACATGATTTATTGATGACTTATGAATTGATACTATATGATGAATTATTAATGAATCCTGTAAATATTAAATGATTATCATACATCCTATACACGTAACATCATGAAATAAAATGAAGCAAAAAAAGCGATTAGACGAATAGTTGAATTTGAAAGTACGTTGAAAAACTACCCCTAGCTGAAGAGGTAAAAAGAGAAGCATACAGAAGAAAGATAGAGGCAAACAGTGTGTGCGTTTAATAGCCGTAGTGTTACCTCGGAGGCCTTTTGCCATTAAGAATCCCACAAGACCGTCCTCGGGGGTCCTTTCCACCCGCCAACCCACGTTACCCCTTTCCGCAATTCCGACATATTACATGGTGGCCCGGGTAGAGAGTGGGTGTAATACGTGTTCGTAGCTGGCTATAACTATACGTTGCGGAGGTACACCTAGGTACCACTAAAATCATTAGAAACACGTGCGCCATGCAACGCGCAGAATCCTGTCCCTTGCCATTAGAATGCTTAGACGGTGTTGTATCCGGAGATCAATATCAAAACAACGCTGCATGACCGCCCACTCTGATGGAAAATCTCAGGAAAGATAAATGATACTTTGATAATTGATTGACACGTTGTAATACAAAAATAATTTCTTCGCATCTTGACTTTTTTATATAATTTGATATACATGATACTTGATTAACAAATACATAGTATTTCTGCAGAATTTCTAGGATCATACAGTATCTTTTTATGGAACTTCATTGAAATTTGATGTGCAATATTTTTATCTCATGTAAACACTATTGCAGTAATTTATCTTTCTAAAGTGAAATATCTGAAGTCCCAGCGCAAAAATTCGCTAGTTAATCGCATCTGCACGCGGTCTAGCTCGTCTCGTTCGAGGGCTAGCAAAGAAACCGACGCAATCTCGTCGTATCTACTTTTCCAGATTGCGTTGCCCTTTTTTTCTATCGGATTAGCCGCATCAAAGGAGAGAAAACGGCGAGTCGGAAGAACAGGTGGAAGAAGGACGACGTCGCGAAAGCCGGCGATGCAAGACGAGGAGAGAGAACAGGGTCAAATAAGAAGAAGAAGAGGAAAAAACAGCTCGTACTCTCCTCGTCGCGCTGCTTAAAATTCATAAGGCGCTCTGTTTACTTACTAAAGATACGCAACCCCTACACACACCCTCTTCGCACCCCCTCGGCGCACCGCGAACGTTGCCACGACGAGGCCGTGCTTTATCGCGGAAAATAAAATTATTGGTTGCACTTTTCGCGCGGGACGGCCCGACACGTTTTATCTCGAGCGGCCACCAAAACCAACGAATCGACACACTCGAAACTCAGAGATTTTTCTGTCGCCGCGATGCGAGAGCGCCCCGCGGCTCTCGCCGCTCAAAGAGCCCGTTTGATATGCTGATATCGCGCCTTTTACCTTCGCCATCTCCATAACGCGCCGTTTCTTAGCCGCGATTAGAAATGTAAATTCGAGAACGACCCTCTGCGGGAATATCGGTGACGGCTGGTTTAAAAACACCGCGGTTACGCGTTTGTGGGCGGACAGATTTTCGGTGCACGCTTTATTCTCGAATCCTGTCTTTCGGTATTTTTAGTGGAATCTAAATATTTCTTTACCTCTGCAAAGTTTGATACTTTGAAAATTTTCGAGGACTCAATTTTCTGGAATTCGATATTTCAGAACCCTCATCTTCAGATTCTAAAAGAGCTAGATTGTTAATTTAAATATTTATCAATTTAGTAATTTGTCAGTTTCAAGATTTGTAAATGTACTTTGGTAATTAGAGAAATAAAAAATTGACAAATATAGGAATTAAACGGTTTCAAGTTTAAAAAATTTTGTTTAACTTAAGTTTTGAAGACGTAAAGTTGTAAAGTCTAGCTAATTAAAGTTGTAAAGACGTCTCTAAGTGTACACTCACATATACTTCGTTCTAAGACAGCCAACCCCTATCTATTATATCAAAAATAAGTAACAATGATAAAGCAAAGCCATAAAAGCACCCACCGAAGCAAATTTTCCCAGCTCCACCCTCTCCATTAAACGTCTTCAACTAAACGTCGTAGCAGCTTTGTTAGATCATCCCCATTTCCCAATAAAACACGCTCATCACTGATCACCAATTCGATAACTGGTAATCCTTACAGGGTATCCATCCCTCTTACCTCAATTTTAATATCTCTCCCGATCTACCATTGAACATGAATTTCCCGATAACGGAAATAAAATTCACCGTTCATCGTTCTTCCACTATAATTATCATCCCCGAAAAAGGACTACCTCAAACATTCTCCCTGGAGTATTAGAATAAGCAACCTTTCACAAAATACTCGAACATTCTTTCTTGTTTACGTACTTCGTTAATACTTTATCGAAATAAAATTTCTTTTGCTGTAATCATCCCTCAAATTAAACTTTGTTGAATATCAAAATATTTTCTTAAATATATCTTGTTTACTTGTTTAATCAATAGTGTATTGAAGTAAAATTCGTCTACCGGTCTTTCATTTTAATTATCATCT